TTTTTTTATATTTCCTCTTATATTATCTTATAAAAATTAACAAAAAATGATATGCAAGCCAGGCGTGGTGGCGCATGCCTATAATCCCAGCATTTGGGAGGCTGAGGCAGGAGGATCGCTGTGAGTTCAAGACCAGCCTGGGCTACATAGTGAGTTCCAGGTCAGTCTCACCTACACAGTGAGACCCTGTCTCAAAAAACAAAACAAAAAAAAAAGATGCAACTTTTGGTCATCCTATATTTAAATAATTGGACCAGTAAGTGGTTAATACTGTTCTCAAGTCATATCAGAATTTACTTGTGGATCTAGGGGTATAGCTCAATGGTACAGCAGTTGCCTAGAATATGCAAGGCACCAAGTTCAATTTCTAGCACTGCTTCCCCCTTAGAGAAGGAAAACCTGCTTTAGGAAGGAAGCAGGATGTATTTTGTAAGTTCTGAAACTCAGAGCTGTCTGCAGTCTACTTCTGCACTGGCTTATGAGTTTACTAATTTTAGTAATTCCGTGGGCTGATTGATAAACACTTCTGTTTTAAAAATTAAATTCTGTACTTACAGTTGAATCTTGTTACCTGTAAAGGTAATAAGTCCTGCCACCTGCTAGTGATATGGGAACACTCTGTGTGTGCACTCCTGAGGCCACTCCCCTGTCCATACTTCAGGGTAGAGATTTGAGTCTCTTAAGATGCTGGCAGGTACACATCCCTTTGATGTCCCTTGGACAGTTTGAACTAGACCATGAAGGGAGTGTTGAACCGTGGAGTAGCAGGTGCTGTAGAGTAGACCCTCGGCCCACACTGGCTGTCAACATTCCCACACAGTACTGCGTGCAGGCACTGATTAGTGTAAAGGTGACATTCAGTGTCTTCACAAAAAGACAGTACTCTGCTGTTCCCCACCTGGGGTGTTTTGGACCACTTTTCATTACTGGGACCAAAGCTATAAATAACAATAGATAAGGCAGATGTCACCTGATGTTAGAGGCCTTTCCCTGTCATGCTGACCCTCCACTGTCCCTGAGGCTCCTCTGCAAATTTCCCCTAAGCAGGGTACCCCACATCCTTTTTCTTGCCCCTTCTACCCATCCCAGATCCCTCCCTGAGTCCTTTCTCTCTGGGTGACCCTCAGCCCTAGACATGTGAAAGGTTATTCTTCAGGAAGGCATGGGTGTATGTCTAGGAATTGGAGGTAGAAAGCTGAGAAAACTTGACTTAACTTTTATTAAGAATAAGATTTGCTCTTGGAGCTGTTTCCTTTGGATTTCTGGGGGTTTTTAGGAGCATAGGCATATCCTCCAGAGATAGTGGTCATGGAAGAGAGATAGTGGTCATGGAAGAGAGGACTGAGGCAGGCAGGCTTATGTCCTGCACATGGCCAGGGACATACAGTGCTACAAAGTGGTGTTCAGCACAGAGCTGGCACTTATGCTCCAGATTTTAGCAGGACCAGGTCCAGGCTCCTTGAGACACTGTTCCACCCTCAGCCCCCACTGTAGGAAGTGGCTTGGGTGAGAATCACCCCTCAGGCCACCAGCATTGGCTCTAGCCACCTACAAAGCCCCCTGTTCTAGAATCCTGTTCTGCTTCCCTGCCCTCTGCCATCTGTTTAGCTCCTTCCACACCAGCTCACTGCTGTCCTGTTACTGCTAGCAGCCACTCCCATTAATACCTGTTGCAGGGCTCCCATATCTGGGCCTGAGCAACTCCATCACCACCACCTAACTGAAGGTACAGCGAGAATAAGAATAAGACAAAGGCTTAACTGCTTAAATAGGGGTCTGGGACAGTCTTATCAGGCTAAGACCCCAAGGCACTGGCTCCAGACTCGCCACTATTTATTGATTATACAACATTGCAGGGGGGCATAAAAGTAGATGCAGGGAACAGCAAGGCTAAGATGGTGATGTCAGCTATCCTTGTAAAAGGAGAAACTGCATTCCTGTAAAAGATAGGTCATGATTAACAACTAACCTGTTTGTTTTCTTAGCTAACATTTGTTCTGAGAGAATGGCTGCATACAAGTCATAAAGTCCTCAGCTGCAGTGTTACCTTGCTATCAGAGGCACCACAGTGTCACTGACCATTGAGGCCTCAACTGTGGCCCTTGGCATAGGGAGATCTGTTTCTGCACACCAGCTGAAGGCTCATCTATCAAGTCACATAGGCCTAGGACAGCCTCACATTTTAATCAGTAGCTAATTCATAAGCCAATTCAGTAATATTTTATAGCGTGCTCAGTGTGGTTTTAAGCTCGTCTCTAGTATTCTCTCCATCCCTATCCAGGTTCCTTCCAGTGCTAAATTACAGCAGGCTTGCTGGACGGTGTACTCACACTGTGGAGTTAGTTATAGGGAAAGTACTGTGTGCCCAACACAGTGCATCACTTGCTCCTCAGAGGTCATTTCCATTTCACAGATGAGGATGCAGAAGCTTCTAAGGCAATGGAAACCCCTCACAGCATATCACCACTGTTACTCCCATCACAGCATCATCCACAGACCACAGGAAGAAGCACTTGAGAGCCTCATGTCTAGGTCCCCTGTGTGGGATAGGCCTTGTTCCTTCTTGGTGCTGTTCTGGGAAGACATGTCCAGTTTGGTTGGATGATACAGTCACCACACATGTATAATGTATAACACTAGGAATCAATTCCCTAGCAACTTCAGGAAGCAGAAAGTGTCTACTGCAATTGCAAAGGAATGCATGAGATTCTTTGTGCATGGCTGATCATACAGGAAAATAGCATCAGCTTGGATGCCACAAGGCAGGGTATCCACCTTCCTGAGTGTGATGTTCAACCAGTGCTAGGTCAGTGAGGCTAGGGTTAGAGGCAGGACTGGGCCTGAGCCCTGCCCCATGTACCCAGTGGGGGCTGGGGCCTGTCACCACTGTTGCTTGGGTCCAACTCATCCAGGAGCTTGGCACTTGTGAGGCTTCTGTGCAGGAGCCCACCTAATTTGTCCAGAGTGTGGGGAGCACTATGGACTTGCAGGGTCTGCCTTGCTCTATTGGGATCCTATAAGCACCCTCAGGTCTGTAAATGGGTCTTCTGGGGGTACAAACCATGTTCCTCTACACATCTTCCCCCTTGTTGAAGGAAGGGGTGGGCTTGTGAGGTGGCTGTAAGGTTGAGGTTGTGTCCAGAATGGCGTTCTCACTGCATGCTGTCTAGCACCTATGTGGGTCTTCCTAAGTTCCTAGGGAGGCCTGCTTCTAGGAGGACTCTTGGTGGCCGACTGTGATGTACAGCGATCATACAGACTCTTACGTGTAATCTGTTTACCGAAAGCAAATAGACTTCCTGAGCACTTTCTTAGAACTATGTAATTGATCTGTTGAACTGCCTCCATTGTTTTGAACTCACTGGCTGTGGAATTTGCTGTAGCACTGTGGCCTCAGAAACACAGAAGGGATTCTGTGTCTTTGGCTGTCTCAGGTGCCAGGCACTGATCTGGGCCTTTCTTTTTATGTTTTCTTGTTTAATCTTCAGAATGCTCACCTTTATCAGTGTGCTGCTTTTCCACAAGGTAACAGAATGTTGGAGGCCTAGTCTGTTCCTGAAGTCCTGAAGCTGGTAAAGCATGGCCCCTGAGCTCACATCTGCTTTCAGAGTGCACCATGGCCCAGTCACTTGCAGCTGTCATGATGTGGGAAAATCCAGGTTCCAAAGTTCTTCACAAGTGATCTGTCTTCAGGGCCACAGAGGCGGGAGCTGGTGGGAGCCATAGGGATTGGGCGTACTTCGCTCCATGGCTGTTGGCTAGGAACCTTCCACCACCTGGCAGTCAACCAGGATCCTCTGTCTGGAAGCTCACTCCAGACAGTAAGAAAACAAATGCATGAGCAAGATGAGTTGAAGTGGCTGTTGATGTTGGAATGGGAATATCTGAACTCCTTGGAGCTGTCCCTATTGTGCTGGGTGTGGTAGGACTGAGGTCCTGTGCTGGATGTGAACAGGTCTTGTATTTTCTGAGAGCAAGAGGGGGCAGGATGAGGCAGCTGAGAAAAGAGAAGAAGTCCAGTGGACTGAGCAGCCAGCGGGAGGGCAGGGCCTTGCAGGCCATGGGCAGCAGGCTGGATGTTAGCCCAGGGCACTAGCAGTTTGGGTGGGGTAAGCAGTGCAGGCATACATACAGGTCTCTAAATCGCTTTGGCTGTGAAATGGTAGGTGGGCTGTGGGGGCCAGGGAGAAAGCAGGGATCAGCTGGAAGCCCATCATGCTCAAATAAAACTGCAGCTCTGGGCCAGGGATTTAGCTCAGTGGTTCCACTGCCTTCCTCACAAGCACAAGGTCCTGAGTTCCATCCCCAGTACCAAACAAAGAAAACAAAACAAAAACCTGCAGCTCTTTTAAGGGCATGAAGGGAGGCACTTGGCATCAGGTAAGAGTGAGGCAGAGTGCTCTGGGCAGACACAACAGTACAAAGCTCCCTCGCATGGGAGGAGCTGCCAGGAGCCAAGTGCAAGGCAGGGATGGTGGCCTTGTCGGGTGAACCTGAGGTCCTGCCAATATGAGTGGCTGGGTGATCAGGCTTTTCTCTTAGGGGACGCCATAGTATCACCAGATGGGGTCCAAGAAGCTCCCCCCACAAAGAGGATATAGAGACCTCATTTCATTCACCCACAGAGTAAGTTGGCAAACTTTGGTCACAGAATAGTAATTCTCAGGATGAGTCAGTAGAGGCACAAGTAGATGTATTTGGCAGAGTTAAACAAGTAACACACTCAGAAGTGAACGTAGGCATCCACAGAGTGAGTTGCATTATGGTCTGGGGCTGAGGATATTACATAGTCCTTGGAGGTGTCCGCAATATCCAGTACGTGTATTCCTAATGTCTGCAGGTTACATGTTAGTGGGATAGTTTAGAATGCAAACTATTTGCGGGTGTTTGAAGTTTAGAGATATGGTACCCACTTAACAGTGCTGTTTCTTTGGGCATGGGGAGTCTGGGATATATGAATCTGTAGTATGCAAAGAATAACACAGGCTCAGGTTATAAGTGAAAAGCATGGGCTTAATGTGCAGACGTATTGTATCTTCAAGACCCTCAGGAAAATTTGGAGTCAATTTCCTAGGAGGAAAAAAGGCATTATATATAACTTAAGGTAATCTGGATTGTGTCCTGAAGCTGCAGTTCTTAGTTTTTAAGTGTGATTTTTCTTATCTCCTTTCTACCTATCTTTCCTGTCTTTATTTATTCTACCTCAAAGGAGGTCTAATCCCTCTCCTCACCCCCTTCCTCCTCCTCCGACTGTGTCCTCCGACTTGTCTCCTTGGTGGCTCTTGACTTTGAGACTGGTGGTACCATGCAGCTGTTACAAGGAGCAGAGGGTGTTGGCTAATGTTAATGTGATTTTAGGCTGGGTGGCAGGACATGGCACAAATTTTATAATCTCCAAGATGCTCCTATAAGCTCAAGATGAGCTCCTCACCCCCTTCCTCCTCCTCCGACTGTGTCCTCCGACTTGTCTCCTTGGTGGCTCTTGACTTTGAGACTGGTGGTACCATGCAGCTGTTACAAGGAGCAGAGGGTGTTGGCTAATGTTAATGTGATTTTAGGCTGGGTGGCAGGACATGGCACAAATTTTATAATCTCCAAGATGCTCCTATAAGCTCAAGATGAGAGGCATATAATCGCTTACCCAACCACAAAATATCTGTTCTCTGTCTTGTGGTACCAGAAGTTGAACTCAGCCTTGCACATGCTGAGTAGGTGCACCACCACTGAACCAGATCCTGATCCCAAAACATCAAGAGTCATAAGGGTGGCCAGTTGTGTTGCAGTCAGGCAGAGAGCAGCTCGTGTCTGAACTCACCAATAAGTAAAGATCCCCAATAGCTGGGCACAGAAGGCTGAGGGATACAGCAGGGAAGCAGGAGGGGTGTCCCACTGGCATTCTTTTGGAGAGAGTGTGTCCTGCTTGGGTCTGGCCAGGTGCATCTAGTTGTGTATTTGAGGCTCCTCCTCATGTAAAAATTAACAACCCCTGCCAGAGAAGTCGGGAAGCCCTTTGTGGGCAGCTGGCTGAACTGTTTACCTCCCAGATCAGAGGCCAGCACAGACCAGCATAAGGAGCTAGAGATTACCAAAGGAAAGACCATTCTGAATCTGCTGGCATCAGATTCATGGAACCTGCAGGAAGGTTGAATGCCACAGGCAGTAGACCACACTGACAGCCTGTCTGCACTTTTGCTGCAGGCGGGGAGCTGTGGATGGATCTGCAGACTCCACCTTTTCACACTGTTTCACACCACACAGCTCTTCCCCCTAGGCTTCTTGGTGTTGCCTCTTTCACTGATCCTAGGGCCTGCCTCCCACAATGAGCCTGGACCAGTAGTCAGCATTCTGGGAGCTCTACCTGGGGGTCCTAGGCCCTGGGCTTCTCTCCACCCATCTAGGACTTGACTCCAAACTCCTGGGGAAGCAGGAAGGAGCCCAGGGCCACACTCACCCCAGCCCCTCTGTCTCACAGACCTCTGAGGGATTGCTGGTCCTCTGGGAAGTAGTGTGGTGGGCACTGGATGGTGGAGACACAGGGTTCAGTATCAGTCACGTCCCCTCCCTGTCCACACCAGGGAGTTGCAGTGGTACCAGAACAACCACCTGAACATCTTGTTCCATTTCACCCTCTCCCTGCCTTTCCTGCAGCTCCAGTGATTCTAGAATGTTCCTTACAGCCCTGTGTGCCCCCCCATGGAAGTGACCCCTCCCCCATGCGGACTCTCAGCAGCCTGTGCTTAGGCCTGTGATGTGAAGGACAGCACCCCTGTCCTCCTGTCTGTGGCCTCAACCTGATGGCTCCATGTGGGCTCCAACTTCTGAAATCTAAGGTCACTCAAGGATGCAGCACATTACTCACGAAGAACTCGTTCTCATGAGATTAATGTTATGAATTTTTGTCCAAGAATACAAACATAATCTGGATGTGCCAGGCTTTGTCTATTGAGAGAAAGAATGTGAGTTCCGATTCCGTCTCAGACCTTTGTTAAACATTTATAGGCCACTTTCCCAGCCCCCTGTCTCCCCGTAAAGTACCAGTTTATCAAAAATGCCCTTGTGAACAGTAGCTGCCACACATGCCCCAAACGTCCGCGTGACCTCACACAGCCGTGGACGCACAGTGACACAGTGAGTGTTTCCTGTGCATGGGGAGCTTCCGGGTCCCACCATTGTTGTTCAACTTTTGCCTGGAAAAAACACAAATTATTTACTGGGGACCGACGTGTTTGTTTAGCGCTTTGCTGGGAATTGCCCGTCTGAGTTGTCCCAGGGCCAGCCTGTGCTGCACTGGCAGTAAGGCTGTGTAGCCGGCTTATGGGTCAGCTTAGGTGAGAGGGACACCCCTTGTTCACTAGGGCTGCTGTGGGAAGTGTTTGCTTTTCTTGCTGACATTCTGAAACAGAGAGTGCTGTCACCCTGTCTCTCAGGCAGCTTTGTAGGCTCTGTCCCATTACTGCAATGGCCCGGCTGCAAGTGCCTTCATTTTCTAATAGGTTGGGATTTTACAGCCTGGAGTAGAAACAGAATGAGACCCTGGTGTGGTTGCTGGTGTGCTTGCCTTCCTGGGCTCCTCCTGCCCCCTGGCACATGCAGTTCTGGACAGTGCAGCCTGCTGGCCCCAGGATCATTCCCTGGTTGAGCCTTTCTGCCTGCCTCCCCTGATACCTGATTCTTATGCTTTGGCAGTGGGATTCTAGGTTCCTCCAGGTGCCCTGGATATGGACAGACCTACCCACAGGTGTTCGGTCTCCTGTGGTTCCCACTACATTCCTTGATTTCTCTGGAGAGCGAAGGTGGGGTAGGCTGCTGGGGAAGTGGGGCCCACATCAGGGTGGAGGCTGCCTGTGGTTAGACTGTAGCCTCAAGCCAGACTGTGTGACTGCTTCGTGATCCAAGCCTTGTTGAGCCCAGTCCAGTAGTATGTGTGAATGAATACTTTGCTTTCTGTGGTGGAGCAAAGCTGTGTCCCAGGTCACTGAAGCTCAAGCCTCAGTGGATGATCTTTACCCACTGAGTGGGATGAGAAGGGCCTATCTTTCTGCGCTAGGTGACCTGCCATGGGTCATTTCAGAGGATGGTGTACTGTTCCACACCTTCATTGGCACCCAGTCAAGGAAGGATGGACAAAGGAGGCCCCAGAGCTCTGGCCAGGCTGGACTCCAAAGACATGAGCCTCCAGAAGTTGTGATCCAGCTCCTCCAACCCACGTTTTAAAATTAAGACCCTGATACCACCAGGCCACAAGAAACTGTCAGAGGCCTCTAAGTACCTAGGTCCTTAGCAACTGTGTTTTGATTGATAGGCTACCCTGGCTTCTAGGCCATAAGTGAGTTGCTTAGGGTCAGAGAGGAGGTTGTAAGGCCCCGCCAAGAGCTGTGTGGAGGGGTGACTTTGTGGTCAGGGCTGAGGGAGCCAGCCTCAGAGGGACATTACATGGGCAACACTGCCCAGGATGCCTTCAGCCACACATGGTTATGGCACCTGCTGGGTCCAGACACTTGGCCAGGTAAGCCTGTAAATGTGCCAGTGCTGTCTTCCTTGAGCTCAGGGCCACAGCCAACAAGTAAGGTACAAAGGACCAGTTAAGCTGGCAGATGGGCAGCCCTGATGGCCTCCGTGCAGGGGCTAGAAGCTTAGGGCCTGAATATGGACCGGCTGTTCACTCCCCAACACTACACACACCCCCCACCCCCGCCAATAAGAAGCCTCACTTGTAAGCTGTCAAAGGCTACTTGGTCCTGGTACATTTTTCTACTTCCAGACCCATCAGCATGACACTGGTTGTGCCTCGGGGCAGGCTGGGAATGACTGTCCCCTGAAAGCAAGGAAGCTATGGCTCACACCTGCAATGCCCTTTTTGTGCTTCCTGGGATCCTGTCAGTGCTTGGGCAGTGACTGATGCTTGTTGACATTTTTCTAGGCAAGCAGAAAAATACTTTGTAAAATCCAGGTTTAGATTTGGCGACCATTTTCATTTCACTTGCATGACTAATTTCAGAAAGGAATGGTGGGATTTCCCAGATCCTTCTGTGAACTGTGCACTTGAAGCCACACCCTTGTCCCTGGACAGGATAACTGATCAGAGTGTGGGCTCACCCCAACAGCCCCCACATGGGCCCCTGCTACCCCAGCCAACTGTGGGCATCAGTGTTGGGCAGGGTGTGCCAGCAAGCGCTGTTGGGCTGGGCAACTACACTACCTTTGCCAAGACTTATGACTGGATTCAGCAGCATTGCCTGGGACCGCTGCAATTTGACCCTCTCTACCTTGATGCTAGAGTGAGCATGCACCAAGTTTGGTCATCTCTGCTTCGTCTCCCCTTACTTTCTGTGGTTGCAGCTTCTATGAACAGCAGCAGATCCTTCAGCGGTTCATGCCTTGGCACCCACGAAGATAATGTCCCACCTGAATCACCCAGTCAGCCCTCAAAGAGCCTGTGAGACAGGAAAGTGAGGCTGTCTGCCTAACTGGCTGGTGGGGCTGTGGTGACCTGAAGGCACCATAGGGCTTTATGACACCCTCACGTATTATCTTTGTGTCAGTTTGGCACTAGGAGCTGGTCTAGGCCATGCCAGCCTCTGCTCACCTCAGGACACTGCAGAATTCAGCACAAAGCCTGCATTCACAGGATGGCTCAGGTGGAGATGGCCCATTCCTCTTCTTGCAGCTGTCATAGAGCCTTATATGTGATAGATGCCTGAGTTAAAGAGGACGAGTTAGAGATAGTTCTTTGCGGCCAGGTCCTGTTGCTCCAAGTGCTTGGTCCGTGGTGGTAGTGACCGACTGCAGCCAGCAGGAAGCAAATTAAGTGTTTATGGCTCTTGAAAATCTTCAAGGAACTGCATTAGCTCCGTCTTCCCTCCCTCGCTCTTTGCTTTACTGCTCCAACCAAAAAAAAGGCCCAAGTTGTGGCTAGAACTTCTGCCACTGAGTGTGGCAAATGTGCATCTTAAAAGTGGTTGCCTTCAGTGGGGAGCAGAATGCTTGGCCGATAGGGCAAGTGGCCTCTCAGTGACTAGAGGTCTCTGAGCAGAGATGGCACTTGTCTGTACCCTGCACTTCTGATGTCAGCTTTCCCTCTGCCGTGCCTTCATCAACTACTCCCTGAGCTCAGGCTTCAGCTCAGAGACCGGAGTCAGCTGAGGCCCAGGGGAGGAAGTGACAGACTTGTCTCTGAACCCTAGCTCCAAGAGTTTTGCCATTGTGGTTCTGCTACTGCCCCTTCAGGTGGGCTACAGAACCAGAAGCCAAGACAGGAGGAGCTGAGATTGGTGTGTACCAGTCAGCTCCTGCAGTAGCAAAAGTGAAGATAGCAGAGCCCCAAAGATCCCCAGTGGGTACCCCTGCTGGCCAGGAGCATGGTTGTCAGGCCCAGGCCCAGTCCTGACTTGTGCAGACTTTCTCTGTGACATGCAAGCCTGTATGCAAAGTGGCACTCACACCCTGCATCAGGCCCATGTCCTCTTAGGAAAGCATCTTTCAGCCTCATTTGCTCTGAAATTCAGAAGCCCGTAGCCCTTTCTCTGCATGACACACAACCTCCCAGCCCTGTCAGCTGTTAGCAGCGTGGTCACCTGTGACAGTTGTCCACCTGTGGGCTTAGTGTGTCTATTCCATGGCTTTGCTGATGCCTTTCTTGGGACTGGAAGCTGCCCAGGCCAGGCCAAGTCTGGATCCAATGGATCATCAACCATGAGGTGCACAGCAGGTCTGCCTTGGGCAGGCTTACATGACTTGACATGACACCAGAGTGAAGAGTAGAGAGCGGAGCCACAGGTCTCTTTAGAGGACCCTCAGGGAGAGATCTACATTAGGTAGATCTGGTCACTCAAAAGGGGATGGGTCTCATGGGGCACAGGGCAGGTGGGGATAGCAGAGGGTAGTCAAGATCAGGATTACAGCTGAGATTGGACTGGAGTTTGGGTAGCAACAAACACCAGGGCAGGAGTCAGTCAGTGGAATGGCCCAGCAAGGCAGAGCAGTGGAGACTGGACAAACAGGGTGGACTGGCATTTCCAGTTTGGCTCCAGGCAGCAAAACCTTTAGGCCCTATCTGGTCCTGTCTGGCTTTGGGTTGGGAGGGGAGAGCTGCAGGTAAACTGTTATGCCCTCTCTTCAGGACCTGCAGCCTGCCTGAGTTCACACAGAACTTCGGGTACATACTGTGGACTGCATTATGGAGAATCAGTAAAGGACTGCAGGGAACCCAGCACCTCCAGAGCCCACCCCAGGCCTGGGACCCTTAGAGAAAAGCAAGCCATGATCAGGAGACACCATAAGCACAGGATACAACTCCAGGTGGATATCATTGGTGACAGAGCCTGCATGTTGGGGGCAGTGATGCATTCCGCTCTCTCTGAACTGTAGGCCACACTGCTGACTCTGAGAAGTTTCAATCAGGATGCATTTTTGAGAAGTAGGTACCTAATGTGTGTGTCACTGAAGGTGGGCAGGGTTCTGTGACCTGTGGCACCCCCTGTCCCTTTGAGTGCCTCAAGGCAAAGCCAAGGAACCCACACCTACCATATTAGGCCCAGTCCATCCCACAGAACTCAATCAGCAAACTCCACATTTCCCAAGCCCTGGATACGTGCTGCCTGGGAACAAAACTAGCCTTCCTGGAGTTGTATGGGGGTGCAGAGGTCAGAGCAAACACCTGAGTATGGCAGAGCACGTCAGCATTTTAATGGGCTGCTAGCAGTAGGTTTCAAAGGTGCTTCCCTCCTGCCTGGGAAAACATTTCCTCCTCCCACACAAGTTTATTTTTCTTGTCAGTTCAACACAATATTCCGTTTCTCAGTGCCTCTCAGTGCTGCCTTTGGCAGCATAAAATCCTAGCCAAATGAGGCAGTGGTGTGCCAGAGCCCTTTTTTTCTTTTAAGTATGTAACATAGGTCATGTAACAAAGCTAGAGGATTAGTTACCGTGTGACCATCCAGTGACACCCACTGTGCACATCCAGGGCAGAAAGAACGACCCCCAAGCCTGCCCTCCCCTGTGGGCCCTGCCCCTCCTGAGGTGACCAGACCCCTGACTGCTAGCAACAGTCTGGACATAGCAGGACAAGAGCCCCATGGTGTGTGCCCATTCTCCACGGCTGCGCCATGCCATAGTAAGAGTCATCCACGCTGCTGCACATAGCTGTGGTCTGGTTTTTCCTGTTTTGTGTGGAACTGTAGCTTATGACCCCATCCTCACCCCATGCCCACCCTACTGTCGATTGCTCTGTGTAATAGGAAGGCAGCATGCAGAGTAAAGGAACATAGACCATGGAGTCAAGCTGTCCTTGCCTAAATCTTGGGGCCACCACTTTCTAGCTGTGTGATCTGGGGCAGGTAGCCTAACTGCTCTGAACTTCAGGCTTCCCTGCTATAAATTGAGCACAGTTCCTGTCTCCATGGTGGTTAGGGAGGCTAAATGGGGGTGCATGTCACGTGCAGCCACAACACCTCAGCTCCGGTTGGGACACACATTTTATATTTCCTCTTTCTCCCTTTAACTGTAGCCCCTGTCCTGCTCACTGTGGACTGTCAGTATGGTGGGCTGATGGTGCCCTCAGGGGCCTGGCTGCCACCAGCACTGTGGAGGGTCCTGGTCCCAGTCACACCGCCTGCCAAGCACCTGCTGTGTGAATAAGGCCAGAGCCAGTCTCGTGGCTGTCCTGCAAACAAGGCCCAGGACACTGGGCTGATTTGATTCTGGGTGCTTGGCATTCTAGGAGACCTGGTGGGGCTGTGTGTGTCTGCATGAGTCCACATGAGTCTGTGTGGTAGAGTGCCTCCTGAGTAATGGCCCGTGTCCCTTCAGGCCTTCCGGAGCAGTACTACAGTCTCACGTGGTTCCTGAGCCCCGTCCTCGGCCTCATCTTCACACCACTCATTGGGTCAGCAAGTGACCGCTGCACCCTGAGCTGGGGCCGCCGGCGGCCCTTCATCCTCGCTCTCTGTGTGGGCGTCTTGCTTGGCGTAGCACTGTTCCTCAACGGCTCTGCCATAGGTGAGTGCTAGTGCTCTGGGCCTCGGGACTTCACCCTGCAGGTGTGCAGTTGGAGCCATAGGGTTGGCCCTGTGGGACCTGCATGGGCTGCCTGGCAGTGACCACAGTGCAGGCAGCTTGGTAGTGGCGCCAGCCCACGTGGGAACGCCAGAGGAACCTGTTCACAGGGAAACGCTTCCTGCTGGGACCGTTTGTTTTTAATGCATATCAGACACCACATCCTGTTTCCAGCATTATTTCAGAAATTATCTTTTCTTTTCTTTTCTTTTTTTTTCTTTTTTTTTTTTTTTTTTTTTTTTTTTT